GCCCCGCGCGTCGAGACCATGACCCTGAATGTCGCGAGGAAGGGCCGCGGCAGAGGCGCTGTTCGGGCACGACCCGCACGTCCTCAACTGGGGCCAGAACCCTTTCCACCGCAGCGAGTCCGGGCCGGCGTGTACGAAGACCCTGGCCGCGAAAGGGCCCGTCGTTCCGCTGATCGAGGGGCGCGACGACAGCGCGGCCAGGTGGGCCGCAAACCTGTGCGCCCCCTCGAACACGCAGGACTTGCTGGAGAACAGGCTGCCCCCAGCAGAGTTAGTGTTTTTTTGGGCGACAACGTCGAGGCCGCCCTTGAGGCCAGATGCGGCGAGTGGGTGTCCACGGCGACTCCCGATAAACGCTCCTGCCGGCTAGATGACGCACTGACGTTCTTGCAGCAGCACCAGCGGTAGCCGCGAGCTGAACCGCAGTGGCGGTGGCGCATCCTGATGGCGGACGGCCACAGTCCGCCCAAGGCAGACGCAGTGCGCCGACTCGCTTGGCAGCGTGGTTGGGCGGTGCTGGCGCGTGGTGGAGGGGCGACGCCCGCGGCGCAGCCCGTGGGCGCGGACTTACGCAAGCACGTGACCCTGAAGTGGCTCTACTTGGCCCTGGGCGGCTGCCCCGTTGCAGAAGATGGCCGACGGCCGCGGAGTGCCGCAGTTGACGCGACGGGAGCGCGCCGATCTCATGGTGCACGTGCTCGGCGACCGCAAATTGCACGTCGACGCGATGAATGGGGCTCCTCAGAACTGGGGTCCGCCTTCCCTTGGATGGCAGCATGGACCTCGAGATCTGCCGCGAAACTTTCCGCTTGTGGAAGGAGGGGGGGCTCGGGGACGAGGTCAACGCCGCAGTGGCGGAGGAGCGGTTGAAACTGAGTTACGCAGATGTCACTTGGCTCGTTCGCCCCTGCGAGACAAACCGATCGGGCCGAGTGCTGGAGGCGCCCGGCGAGGAGACGGCGCGCCAGGACCGGGGGGGGGCGAAAAGGAGGGGCCGGGGGCAGCGATGCAGTTCGCCGACGATTCCGATCTCGATTCCCACGCATCAAGAGTGTCAGGGTGGAACGAGGCCGTCGAGGACGTGGGCGGCGATCCCGACGGCGAAGCGCGCGCGGGCGGGGCGGGCCGCCCCGCGGGGGCCGCAGTGGCGGCCGAAGGCGGCGACACGTCAGAAGAGCTATGCCTTGTGGGTGTCAGCGTGGACGCCGAGACTGCCGAGGAGGTCGCGGCGGCGACCTCGACCATGCTGGCTTCGGAGGAAGCGGAGGAGGTGTCGCGGGCGGCGGGCTGCTTGAAGGAGGCGCAGGATTGTCGCTGACCCAGAAGCGCACGCGCGAGCTTGCTCGAGCGGGCGACGGCTTGTTGCGAGCGCGCAGCGCCCAGCGGGCCCACGAGGAGGCGCCGGAGGCCATGCGCCGCCGCGCGGTCGAGGGGGCGAACGCTGCGACGATCGCGCTGCGGCCCATCAAGGATCAGTTCGTGATCGCCGACAAGGAGAGGAAGGTGGTCGTGGACAAATGCGTCGAGGCCGCAGCGGCGGCCAAACCCGTGGCCTGCCAGTGCAGCATCGACGCCCCGAAGAGGAATGCGTTCAGAATGGCTCCGCTGACGCACCTGAAGAAGCACAAGGGCGCCCTGTCGGCGCGGCAGCTCCGCGCGCGGGATGGCTACGTGAAGGCCCGGCGCGGCCAGGCTTGCCCCGAGCTCTTCGCGGGGTGGCTGAACAACGTGAGCAGCGAGATGGCGCGAAGCCATGGGGGGGCCTTCTCCCGGTTTGTCCACGACGAGTCGCGGCGTCTCTTGGAGGGCCCCGAGCACGGCAGTGGCCCGCAGGCGCCGGCCCTGCCCGCCGGCGCTGCAGCGGCGGCTCCTGGGGGGGCGCTGTCTACCTCTCGTGGAGGCGCGCGTGCGGCGACGGGAAGGAAAAAGTGATAATGCCCATCGGCGTCGCCCTCATAATAATGGTGGTGGCCCTCGTGCTCGACGCGCCGCGGCTGCCGCCGTTGTCGTTGCCCTGGCCGTGGTCGCGGTCGTCGCAGTCGCCGCTTGGCATCGCCCGCCCTCTCCGGCGCAATGAGTCCTCTTCCGCCTGCTCGTCCTCCACGCCGCCCTTGCGCGTGTTATTCCATGGCCGTTTCCAATCGAACGGCGCGCGCGACCTCGCGTGTCGCAGACATGTTCGGCGAGCTCTGGCCGCAGTTCCGGCCGTGAAGAGCCTGGTGGCCATGGGTTGCCGCGGCGACTTTCGTTCTGCCCCGTGCAGGGGAAGGGCGGTGACGGCTCCGGGCAGTCCCAGGCTGGCCGCCAGGTTCGCGGGGGCTGGTCTGGAGGCCCGGCAGTCAGAGGTGCAGAGGAACCGTGGTTTTCGACGAGGCGAGAGGTGCATGCATTGCGCCGGGGGGGGGGGGGCGGCCCGCGTCGGGCCCGCGCAGGGGCGCCGCCGGCTTGCAGTGCGAGGAGTTGGCGCGCGGCGGCGGCCTGGAGACGGCGGGCGCCCCGCGCGTCCGCCGCCGGTTGCGAGCGCGCGTTTGGTCCGGGGCGGGGAGTTGGGCGCGCTTGCTTGCGATCGCACCCATCGGCGCGCGTGTCGCGCCGCGCATGGCCCGCCTCCGCCAGAGCCGTGGCAGCGTCTGGTCGCGGCAAGTGTGCAGGGCCCCTCCCTTCCCCGCTCGCGACCCCGCGCCCTCGCGGTCGCGGGGGCCCGCGGTGGCGGCTTGCGGGGTGTTCGCCAAAGGGGCGGGGATGTCCGAAATCGGGCGGATTGCGCGCGGGGGGCGCGGGGGCGTCGGCGGCGTCCGCGCGCCGCGCGGTCGTCGCGCAGATGCCTCATGGGAGATTCCTGCTGTCGACCCGCCTGCTGATGACGGATCAGTCCGCGGTGTCGGGGTAAACGCGGGCGGTGACGTGGTGCGCGCGTGCTGACAGCCCAATCTTTTTCGTTGCTGCCGCCGAAAACGCGGCCTGCCGCTTCCTGGGCGATGTCGTCAGCTTTCCCAGCAGCGAGGATGACTGAGCGCTTCCTGGGGCGCCGCAGCGGCGGCGGGCACCGCGCCAGCAGGCCGCGCGAGGCACGGTGGCGCTGGATGGCACTGCTCTTCACCATCCTCGCCACCACCATCATCATCAACATCGCCACCATCACCGTGGACATCAAATATCAACCGCACCACCAGCATGCATCATCGCCACCGGCATCAGCATCAACCTCCCTGCACGTCATCGTCTCCGCTGTCGTCATCCCTTTTGTCATCCGTGCCACTTCCATCATCGTCATCATCGTCGTCGCCGCCGATTGTCCTCGTCACCTTCTTCATCGCCGTCGCCGTCGCCGTCGTCGTCTTCCTCGTCCTCCTCGCCACCATCGCTATCTTAACCGCGCTCCGCATAACTATCCTTTCTCCCGCCGCTGCTTCGGCTGCAGTGGCGCCCTCGGGCGCGCGGGTGGCCCCGCGTCTGCGGAAGCGCGCGGGCGGCCCCCGCCAGCGCCTCCGCGGCGTCGACGGCGGCGCGCCCGGCGGCGAGGGCCGCAGCGGCGGCCCCTTCGCCCGGCGATGGCGTCGGCGAGTTCGAAGACGACTGCGACGGGCACGCGCGGCCAGGCGATTCCGTGGTGGGGCGCCTCCTGGGGGCGACGGGGCGACCGGAGTGGCCCGGGGCGGGCTGCGAGCCAGGCGTCGTGGACGCGCGGCCCTGCCGGACGACGGTCAGGCGGCAGTGGGAGTTCAAAAACACCAGGCAACGCCAAGGGCTAATGGAGGCACAGGGACAGCGGCGCGCATGCAGGGTTCGAAGGGAGCTGGGGAGGGTGGGCATCTACGACGGGCGCAGAGGCGAAAGTGGCGAGGGGGCGCCAATTGAACTGGGCAGCTGCATCTTCGCTGTCTGCAGCTTCGGCGAGGGCGCTTCGGGCGGCCAGCAGGAAGCCGGCGAGTGGAACTAGATGAAGCAGTGACCGACCAACATCCTGGCCGCCGCCGAAGCCACTGACGACTTCTTCGACCAGCCCAGGGGCGACAAATCGGCGCGCTGGCACGTCGTCGACGACGAAACGACCATCGGCGTGCACTGCAAATTGGCGCATTGGGCGGGCGAGCGACGGTCGCGCGCGAAGGGGCCCGTGGGGCAAGGCGCCCCGCACCTCGCCATAGTCGACCACGGCGGTCTAGGGATGGAGCTTGGGTGGCGGGAGAAGAAGAACCGCGGGGTTCACGGGGGCCACGAGCGCTGCGTCAGTGCCCTGATCTGCAAGGTGTGGTTTGACAGACAGGTGATTGGCCTCGGCGACGAGGGCGCGCCGGCACACTGCCAAACCAGTAAACGCACCAAGTGCTTCAGATAGTTCGCGGCCTCGCTCCAGAACCACGTCGTCGAGGTGGTGGTGGGGGACTTGGACATGCTGGTGTTCCATGCGCTGTCCGGATGCCGCAGTCGCAGTATCGCAATGGGCTTGGCCGTCTACTGCGCGTTCGAGCAGATCCTTGGTGGCGCGCCTGCCGCGGACAGCTGCGCGGGGTTCTTTGTGAACTGCTCTGGCAGCTTTCAACTGGCGCATGGCCTGCAGGCCCTGCGCGACGACGACGGCGGCGTCCCGCGCCAGGGGTGCCCCGGAGGACGCGGCTCCTTCAGGGCACGGGGCGACGCAGGCTTCGGTGGCGGAGAGGCCCCCGTTTGCCCTTCGAACAGCTACGCGCCGAATCCGGAAGCAAACGCCGACAATCTTCTACCATGTCTCACGCCATCTGACAGACGTCTCGGAGAAATTGGGCGCGTTGGCGCCGTGGCGACGGAGCGGCGCGCCGAGACAGAGCTCGGCGCCGCCCTGACTACAGCGCGGCAGAATATGATGGGCCAGAAGGCTTGGCAAGGCGTCGCTGGGGTTGTCGGGCCAGGGTCGCGCATTCCTTCGCGTTTCCACGCGGAGGGGGCCGGGCGCGGGGCCGCGAAGCGAGGCTGAGGAGGTCGGCCCCCTTCTGGGGCGCGCAGAGACGGTGGGCGCGTAGGCGGGGCAGAGCAGCAGGAAGGCCCAGCAGCAAGAGCAGGCCCGCCAGGTGGAGCGGGCTCAGCAGCCGGCCCGGCGCAAACGCCGCCCCGGCAACGCCGGCAGCCGCAGCCGCAGCCGCCCGCAGCGCAGTTCCCGCGCCAGCAGCTCCAGAAGCAGCCCGCGCAGCAGCCCCATGAGCAGCAGGAGCAGCAGCGACGCCAGCCGCAGCTCCTGCAGCATCCCAACGCACAGCAAGCAGCTCCCGCAGCTCAGCTCCAGCATGGCCCCGCTCCATGCGGCAGTGGCCGCTTCGACTGCCCGCTCGCGCACCCCCCTGAGTCGCCTGCGCCTTTGCATATGGCTTCGGCGCCCGCGGCCCAAGAGGCGCCCGCGGCCCAGCCTCGAGAGGGCGCCGTGGCGAACCCGCGCGACAAGACCGCAGCGGCGGCCTCGCTCGACAGGGCCGCAGTGGCGGCCTCGGTGCAGGCGGGCGCCAACTTCGTTGTGGATGCGCCCTGGCATGGCGAGGCGTGGTCGGAGTGGTCGCAGCGCGCAGCGGGGGCAGCGCTCGGGGGGGCCACTCGGGAGTGGCGGCTGCAGCCCGCAGCGGCGGCCTCCGCGCGCATGCCCGACTTCGCCGCG